CTAATGTTTGACAATGAAGTGCATTCAAGTATAAAATGGTATTCATCGGCATTACAACATGTTTAGTTTTACAAAGTGTACATAATCTTTCATTTAATGGTATGCCTGCCCATCTTCCCAGTTCAACTGGTAGACGGTGATTAGAATTACGAAATTTTACAAAATTGATACGAATGGTTTTTATTGCTTGGAACCGTTCACAGTAGCTCAGTCGGTAGAGCGCTCGCTCCGTGATCGGGAGGTCTTGAGTTCGAATCTCGGCCGCGACTGACCTAAGTCGATAAAAAATGGGTAGCAACTGTTCCTTCGCCATGCACTCGGCACATTGAGACGAAAGTTGCGGATCCTTCGGATGAGACCTTAAAAACCGAGGTCCCGTGTCACGGCAGGCGTTGGCACGATAAAGATCCCTTACTGCTCAATGACCCTGAGTGCCGAGTAAAGGTCAAAATTTGAAGCCCTTCACCGGTATATAGTGAGTGAAAAATTCTCGAATGGGACGTGAAACAACAATCAATCAACAATATTGCTTGGGTTCGAGCCCCAACTATACCATCTTTTTTAAATCATAGAATGATTTTTTCCGAAAGAATTTTCTGCAGAAAAGTTTGGTTTGTCATAATTTTATACAGGTCTATCAATGATAAGGATACTAAATTCACAAATTAAATACGACTTTTATAAATGTACATCTGAAGCTATGGCCATTTTGCATGCTTTTTCGCTATCTCATTTCTGGGAACATAGGCTCACTAAATAGCTAGTCTTCCGGTGGTGGGGGGGGGGGGTTCACTATATATAGCCAGTCTTAAAGAGGGAAGACTTACTATATAACCAGCCTTCCGGGGGAAGTCTAACTATGAGGGAAGTCTCACAACACAACACCGTTTGAGTATTCAAGTGTGGCTGAAAAAGTTCTCGACTGCATCTAGAAATTCAGTAATTGTTCTTAACTGGAGCCGTTTTACGCCAGCATTTACTCAACTTTGGACTACAGGTTACAAGGGTTTTTCAGTATTCGTGGATTGATGCGATAAAAATGCGAATTTTCATGGTAAAGAATTATAAGTGTTTTACTCCACTTTTGATTCGAAGATGCAAACTTTGATAATCATTGCAGATGATCAATTTCGAATCAAGGTGACGTCTTAAAGGTCAAGGTCACTGTCATGAACAATGAGATGGTGAAATGTATCATTGCTATAGTTTCAAAATGATGAAAATGAATCGAGTATGTTGCTTTTAATGACCCAAAGATGCACATATTTATTTTTCAGTGTGCTATAATATAACTCTTTGCCCATTGTCTGTCCGAAACAAAATTAGATCTATGTCCGGCCCTAACATCGTCGCAAACCACCTCCAAAATGTATGATCCTCTCCCATTCTGGGAGAGAGCTATATGAGGACTCCGGACCGTGACTTGAGACTGTTGAATCCTTTATTGGAAGTATGCAGAATATAGAGTATTGTTTTGGTGATCTAAGATTAGAATGCACTATGGCCCTGACTCAATGTCACATTTTAAGGTGTACAAGTCATAGGACGATAGAATAGTAACACAAAATTTATTAAATAAGTATTGAACAGTATATTTGAAAGATTTTTTTTATCATAATAATTATGTTATTTTTTAATACATATGTAAAAAAAAAAAAAACACCTGTGTCGTGCGCGAATCTTTGAATAAGGGCTTGCTTGCATCACATTGACTGAGTATCGTGACGTCATAGAGGTATCCGACAATAACCATATGATGTAACAATGATAACAACTTTACAACCAGAAGAAGGGAGAAAAAATGTGAGTGTTTTTAATGCCTAAGCAACAAACTGCCTCGTCTTGATGTTTTGTTTTTTCCTAAGAAAAAATATTCCTTTAAAGACTACTCATATAAATTGCACATGTAGATTGATTGTTTTTAAATGTTATGGAATCATTGTAAATGCAGTGAACAATTATATACACCATGATCTGCAAGATCTCCACAAAAGAAGAGGTTCAAAATTTCGTTGTAACATTTCTTTTTTTTCCGAGTTCTTAACTACAGTTAAAGTAAATTAACGTGCTTAAAATCAAGACTTTAGCCTTAAATTATGGTCTAAGCATTATGTATTTATATTTTTTATACTATTAGCTATTTTTTGTCGGGCTTTGTCAAACGATCACTCAAATCGCATAAATTTTAGTAGAAATGATATATGAATGTCGCAATCACTGGACAAAATGTATGCAAATGTTGGACATAATTATATTAGATTCAACTGCTCAAATGGTTGGATAATTATAAGACGAGACTTTCCCCAGAGTATATTTCTTGCAAAAAATAAGCACAATATGGCAATTTTAGTTTCACAATTCAACGTAACAAAAGATATGACGTCACAATCATTGCTACAACAAAACATCACTAGGGAAAGACGGAGACTACAAGTAGGAAGATTAGTAAATTTTAAAGATGTTCTTTATCATTAATTTCATATAAACTATCGATATCAGTTATTGGTTCTGTTGTAAATGTATACTTTTATATGTATTAATTATTTTCTTCATAGATTTTCAAAATGGATGAGATTTTAGATTTTGGTGAGGATGCCGTACGAGATGTGGTAAGTTTTAGTTATTGAGGTCGATGATACACGTGTTTCAAAAAGTTGTAAACTGTAGAAAAACCTTTCTATTTTAAGATTCCAAATTTCACCTTCAGTATCTAATAACACCAAAGTACATAATTTACATGTACAATCCTGTTTTGTAATGGAATGTGTGTACCTGTCTGAAAAGGGGGGGGGGTATTACCTTTTACGTTAATTTTCTTTTTGTTTGGTTCAAGCATGGAAGGTCCCGATTTAATTAAACATGGGTAATCTTACTATACTTTTATATTGATTGAATAACAATATACCACTAACATTGATTTAAAAGTTTCCAATAACTTTCATGACACCCCCCCCCCCTCTTTTCCGAACGAAAAAAGGGAGCGAATAAAATCTTACGATTTCAACTTCACCAAAAAGAGAAAAAATAGTAGTTATTGGTTTTCCAGAGAGATATTAAATTAAATTTCATTACTTTTTTCAATAATTGTTGCAAACCCGTGTAATTCTGTTCACATATTGAATTTTACAAGTAAATAAGCAATATGCATGAATATACGGATTTTCACAAAATCCAATTTTTCAGGAGACAAAGTTGAAAATACTCAAATTCGACTATAGCTGGGCCGAGGCCATGGAAGAAGAAGACAGGCGACAAGAGGTATTATATCAAAACTGATTTACAACAATGAGTTGAGTAAAGTTTTAAACTGTTGTGGTTCTTTGTAATAAATGACTCCACGAGAACTAAAAGTATAGCTGTAACTCGTTCCCCGTGTATCAAATGATATTAAATGATATTAAAATTTCAATTTACCAAAAAATTCAGAGTTTATTTAAAGCAAACTAATTTTCGTAAAACATATTCTCTTTAGTTTATTTATTTTGGGGGACAGTGTCATTTTTAAAAAAAATCACTTACCGTAACAAACATCGCATTTACACCTTTGCCCTGAAACTGTAAATAAATGACCAACATTTTATACAAGTTTTTGCATAATTTGCAAAATTTGCTCATGAGGGGAAAATCTTTAAGTGTCAGAAAGAAAATCATTGAGATCTTTTAAATATCTTCAAAATTTCTTCGACAGGAGGAAAAAAGAAGACAAGAGAAAATGAAGAAAATTGTCGAGGAAGTGAAGGTAATAAGTTTAAATAAAGTAAAACGAACCATGCATATACAAAAACGGCAGAAAGAAAAATGACAATAAAAGAGAAAGATACAAGCAGTTCATGATCACGCGGGATAATTTTATTTTTTTGAGACTGATATTAATTTGAAATACATTTTATACTGTTTTTCTAGAAAAAATTCCACGAAAAGAAAAACCAACATAAGATACATGCACATGGACTGAGAAATATCCATGAAGAGCTGCTGGTAAGATAAAGACTTGTGTATCTAGGGTAAACAAACCTGTTAGAAACCGGAGAGATCAAAGGGGGTGGGGGTCCCCAAATAATATTGCCAGGATCAAAACAGCGTACAGTTTATGTTTAGTGGCGGATATGCCCAATCTTGTACTATTTCGGGGGAGGGGTGGGGGTGAACATGTAATTTTTTTCTTATATGCCAGATCTTGTCTACACATACGAAAATACTTTTTCTTATTATATAACACATTTTCTGTTAGTATTATGTAACTGTTTAAGAATTGTGCCATTTTTTTTTTTTAATGTTTTGATGACTTTTATTTTGTTTGGCATTATAAATAGTTTTATTTAATTACCTTGTCTTTTAAATAATTGACCTTTTCTGTTCCTGGGTACGTACTGTATTGGGTGTTATATTTTATAAATGGATAAATAAAATCGGGTCTCTCAGGTAACTTAACGATAGAAAACCTATTTTGATTTATAGTTGTGCCCCCTCAAGAATAATGTCTGATGAACCTTTTTTCGGGGGAGGGGTGGGTGGAGGGTCAAGGAATTTCTGCCATTCTTCTAAAATGAAATAAATTGCCTGATCTTGTATATAAACAGAATTATGGTGTCTTTTTCAGACAAAAATTCAGGAAAAAAAGAACCAACAGCAGATACTGACAAAAATGCACGAGGAACTAATGGTAAGAAAAAGAAAATCACTGATTTAGCATGTATACAGGTATCTATACATGTCTATTTCAGACTTGTATAGATATCTGTATACATGCTAAATTATACATTTATTTATTTCCATTTGTCAGTGCGTTTAGTTAAATGCATTTTTTTTTGTTCCAGAAAAAATGGAAAGATAGGGAGGCTCGTAAGCAGACAATGAGAAATCTCCATAATGAGCTCTTAGTAAGTAAACAATACCTATCTTTTAAATCATTGTACATAAATTATTAATTTCAATTTTATTATATGATTATGTGGATATTCTTTTAAACGTTTACAATTTTTCCTAGATAAAAATAGAGGAGAAAAGGGCATTTCAACTGATGCTGCACAAAGTACATGATGAGCTTCTGGTACAAAAATTAGATCAGACATTAACATCTACAAATAATGAAAGAAATTTGATGTGTAGTAACTGAAGCCTTTTTATTTGTGTGAATGCTTTTTAAAAGTATGTTCTTTTCCAGAACAAAGTCAAAGAGAAGAAATCTCGTTATCAGATGTTGTTACAGTTACACAAAGAACTGCTGGTAAGAAATGTGATAAAACATGTTTGAAGTCATTGAATACAAAGTAGTATTGTATATATATATATATATATATATATATATATATATATATATATATATATATATATATATATATATATATATATATATATATATATATATATATATATATGTATTACTACCTATACCAAGGACTTCTTTAATTTTAATATATATATATATATATATATATATATATATATATATATATATATATATATATATATATATATTAGGGATGTCGACGAATAGTCGACTATTCGACCATCAGTCGAATGGACCGACGATCGAATAACGAAACGACATTCGAATAAATAAATTCAATAAAAGAGTGATAAAGAGATGGAATTCTCATACTAAAATTGAGAAACCGTCTTTCCTCGGACACAGTCGATAAGATAATTTTCCTCATTAAAAACTGCTGACTTTACACGTAGAAAGTACAGTGATTAGAAATGCTTCCGCGAGAATTATTTGTCAATTAATGTGTTGTTTTGTAATAAAATTATCTCGCCATACTGCGCTTTCTTTCTAAAATTATTAATTGGACCTCAAGTATATTCAAATACTTAACATTATGAAGGTCACCGTTTGTGCCCCCCCCCCCCATCATTTTAATAAGCTTTAAAAAATATATCACACTGTCATTTTTTTATGCTTCCTAAAAACCGACTTATGAACATGATTGACGGGGAGATCCTACATTTTGGAGAAATTAGCGGTCTTTATTAAGTAAATATAAACACGCTATCTACATTTTAAGTCCATGTGAACATCTGTGTGTAACATTTGATGTAACTTTTTAATCAATTTAAAAAAGGGGAATTTGGGGTTAAATATGTGATGTACCAGTGAAGTTTGAAATAAAATTTTAGTTTCCGAAAAAGTTTCGAATATATTCGACTATCGTTCGAATAATGCAATCGAATATTCGACTAAAGAAAATAAATACTTTGACATCCCTAATATATATATATAATATATATATATATATATATATATATATATATATATATATATATATATATATATATATATATATATATATATATATATATATATATATATATTTAACTTTCATATAAAATTACAAGATTTTTTTTTCAGACAAGCATCCAAGTTAAGATGGTTCATCGACAATGTCTTCAAAAAGTCCACAAGGAGCTTTTGGTAAGAGATCAAAATATTATTTGCATTCATTAAGATACATTTTATTTAGTTATTTTACTAAAAGTAAAAAAATGTGATTTTCTTGTAGACAAGACTTCAAGAAAAGGAAAAAGTTAAACAAATTGTGAAAACAATTCACAAAGAGCTTCTGGTAAGGAAATATATGTCATTATAAAATATGTATTTAATTTTCAATTTCATTATTTTCTATTATGTTATAGCAGTAGAGTAAAATAGAAAAAAAAAATTTCAAAGTATTACCCTGTTCCAAATAACAAAATCAAATTGTATGCAGATATATATTATTCTGTGTGTGATAAAAATCATAAAACTGGTTGAATTCAGACAGAGCTATTACTGAGTACCTGTATCATTATGTATTCAGTTCTTATATGTTTGAAATAACAATATTAAAATGTAATTGTATTTTACAGAGTCGCCATGCAAAGAAAGAGTCGGAACGAGAACATTTTGTGCCAAGAAAGCTGTTGTTGTTTAATATTGTCACCTTCAAGACTCTCTCAAAGGTATTTTTTATTAATCCAGTTGAATCAATTACACATAGCTGTATGTCCTTATTAAATGACTATATATACATTATACTTCCATTAAAATCCATTTTTGAATTGAGAATCACTATACACATAATAATTATAAACCTTCCATAGAAAAAACATTGTTTTATGGATTTTTTTCTCAATTAAGGGGGCTTAATTTTATTTTTGCTATAACTATAGCCAATAATTTTAGTGTTCCTTGAAATATAGTCTATAACTAAGGAATGCATAACAGGCACAGGGAGACAACTCAGTTACAAAACTTGAAAATGAAATAATTGGAATTTATTTATGGTCTTTTTGTCGATTTTTTTGGGTCATTTTATAATTAAAATTTTTACTTTGCTATAAATCCTTTCTCTTCATGTGTAACTTCAGAGTGATCTGAAAGTAGAAGAAAAGGAAATGGAACACTGTCAGTTGAAGGACGTCAGTGATAGCAGAATAAAAGCTGACGTCAAAGAAAGCAATGTACTACCACAGAACATAGAAAGCACCACATCACCTCGTACACAAAAGGTACAGAATTTAAGAAGACAGACGTAATATTCTAGTATATGATTATGATTTATTTATACTTAGCAGGACAATTTTTTGGATTTTTTTATTTTTGTAGGCAAGAAAAGGAAAGATGCCACTCAAGGATCGATTAAAAAGGTTCCTCGGTCTGAAGTAAACACTGACACGATGAAGAAACTAACTTTTTCAAAAACATTGTTGAATTCATATGTTTCATTTACCTTTCCTTCCAAATCATGCTTTATTGTAATTAATAAGAGAAATAAATATTATTTATTGAATTGATTGTTTCATTTTTGGTGGAATTATGTCAAGGTATAGAAACTCAATAATTAGAACACGTGAAACCTTCCTCTCGAACATTTACCCCTTCCATTTAACACGTTTTAACCTGTAGACAATCTCAATCTCAATATTTTTTTTAAAAAAAAAAAAGCATTACATAACGTAAAGTGAAAAGGTGTTATAATCCAACCAATTTGCAAGAACGCTAAAAAGAGGCGTTTTAATGAGTATCGAAAAGGTCTTATATTGCGTTATTACATCTATTTAAAAGGTGTGATGGGGAGATTGAAAGACGTTATAATGCCTCTGAAAAAGGTGTTGTAATGCGAGCAATCTAATTAAAATGAGTTTTTTGATCTGCTGGATCGCTACACAAAGCTTTATGTAGCATAGCGATCTAGTTGGTGCGGATCAAAGATCTAATTTAATAATTTAACGCGAAGTGAAAAGGTGTTTTTATATGACTTGTATGAAAATATAGCCTCAAAAAATCTCAAGTATATGACTGGAGGATTTTTATGCCTTTATTTATCAGTGTTTTCAAGTTCATGCAGGTAACAATTAAGAAAAAAAATATGTGCAAGTAATGCATACAATCAGAGTTCCATTAAATTTAGCCAAGTAGGAAAAAATAATAAATTTTACTAAAGACACCCTTACTTTCTTGGAAGAAAATACATGTATACCAGAATTTGTTGATTATTTCTATCATAGTTATTGTCAACACAGAATGAACAGTATTTGAATATGGAAACTTGTACATGTACATTGTATTATGAAATTGGTAATGAGGAAAAAACCTACAAGTTCAGCATGTCCCAATGACGTACATGTATTTCTATCATGTATTAGACAATAAATAAGCTCCACCCAAGTCAATATCACGGGCATAAAGGCAATATATATATATATATATATATATATATATATATATATATATATATATATATATATATATATTTTTACTGGATTAACCTTGGCTCCATGGTGGAGTGATTACATATAGAAAGAGAAAGAGCTATGAATTAAATAACCATTCTATATAGTCCTTTACAATAAAAATGACAAACAGAACTGAAAAGTTTGTTGAAAAGCTTTCATAATGAACGATATAAAGATATACAAATTAAACCAAAATTCAAAACATCAACTCAATGCAGCATAGATTAGAAAAAAATTCCTCATTCTAGCTGCAAATCTGTAGTTCACAGGTTTAAAAACAAGAGGCCCACGGGCCTTATAGGTCACCTGAGTATCGTGTAACAACTTTCCAACAATTGAATTTGGTTTGTATTTTAAACCAGAGGCCATGTAATTCACAATTTTGAAAGAGGCACTATTGCTCATCATAACTATACAGTTAGCATGCTTACTTTGATTACTTAATACCCAGAGGCAGAGCAGAGGAACAAAAACAAGAGAGGTAGGAAGATCAGGATCAACAAAATAATTAGTCTAGTATTATTCACTATCAACTCAGAAATTGAGTTCTAATCTGTCCCCCACTTTACACTATCACCATGCAGACTATTAACAAACTATTAGTGCTTCTGTACTATTTTTAAACCCATATTAAGACCTCTAGCATTGACCTCTCTTATGGTCTTTAGAGAACTTTTAATAAGATAAGTTATTTTTGTCTCATTTTTATTTATCTATTACTTACATGTCTACCTGATTATTAAAAAAAGAAAGTACTTTTTTAATTATACAATAAACATTCTTGCATAATTATCTTATTCTATTAACCTTTCAAATACATTATTAACAGTGATTAATTATCAAAGGTGAATGGAAAAGGGGAATAACTTCTCTCAGTAGAATACGAATTAAAAGAGCCCTGCCCAGGACCAGAATGCTTAGACGAATGGTCCAGATGTTTAAAAATCTGGTAGAAATACGCTTACTCATATCATTTAAACTTTTACTCAGTTTGCTTCCGATATGCCCAGAAGCAGAGAAGAATTTCACAGGTACAATGCATTTTCACTACAGATTCAACAAAGCCTTACCCTAACAGCAGAACCCAAGACCAAGGGTCAAGAAATTTACAAATTCGGAAGAGTTATCCTCATCATCATTACTATGGACTTCAAAGAATTAACACTTTTCACTATATTATCAAAAGCCCCCCCCCCCCCCCCCCTTCGTTATGCCAGAACCCCTGACCCTAGGACCACAAGATTTAAAAATTCTGTTCGAAGCTCCCATTTTCATCATAGCTAAGCAATTTATTTATCAGCTCAACACTAAGGAGCCGACAGGATTAATTAATGATTAATTAATAGAATTAATGCTTTTTCACTATATAATCAATAGAGCCCCCCCTCCCCCTCCTCAAGAACCCCAAAAACTGAGGCCATATATTTAAAAATTTTGGAAGAGGCATCCTTGTCTATCATAATCATGCACTTAGTTTGTTTAAATAATCTGCAGTAGCAGAGAAGAAGATTTTCAAAGAATCAATGCATTTTCACTATATAATCAATAGAGCCCCGCCCTAACACCAGAACCCCTGACCCTGGGGCCACGAAATTCACAATTTTGGAAAAGGCATCCTTATGCATCATAACCATGCACTTAGTTTGTTTAAATAGTCTCCAGTGGCAGAGAAGAAGATTTTCAAAGAATCAATGCATTTTCACTATATAGTCGATAGAGCCCCGCCCTAACACCAGAACCCCTGACCCTGGGGTCATGAAATTCACAATTTTGGAAGAGGCACTCTTGCACATCATAACTATGTACTTAGTTACTTTATTAAATATCCAGAAGTAGAAAAGATGATTTTCAAAGAATTAATGCATTTTCAGTATATAATCATTAGAGCCCCGCCCTAACACCAGAACCCCTGACCCTGGGGCCATGAAATTCACAATTTTTGAAAAGGCACTTTTGCTCATCATAACTATGTACTTAGTTACTTTATTTAATACCCAGGAGCAAAGAAGAAGGTTTTCAAAGAATTAATGCATTTTCACTATATAATCAATAGAGCCCCGCCCTAACACCAGAACCCCTGACCCTGGGGCCATGAAATTCACAATTTTGGAAAAGGCATCCTTATGCATCATAACCATGCACTTAGGTTGTTTAAATAATACCCAGGAGCAGAGAAGAAGATTTTCAAAGAATTAATGCATTTTCACTATATAATCAATAGAGCCCCTCCCTAACACCAGAACCCCTGACCCTGGGGCCATGAATTTCAGAATTTTGGAAGAGGCACTCTTGCTCATCATAACTATGTACTTAGTAACTTTATTTAATACCCAGGAGCAGAGAAGAAGATTTTCAAAGAAATAATGCACTTTCACTATATGATCTATATAGCCCCACCCTGGGGCCATGAATTTCACAATTTGGTAGAGGGCTCAATGCTTATTACAATGATGCCAACAGTTTGACTGCCTGATGTCCAGGAGTAAAGAAGAAGATTTTTAAAGATTGCATTATTTTTGGTGGTTTTAGCCCCACCCCTCAGGCCCCAGGGGGGCAGGGACCATGAAATTCACAATTTTGTTCCCCTTCACCCATAAATGCTGTATACCAAATTTGGATGTAATTGGTCCAGTTGTTCCAGAGAAGAAGCTAAAAATGTTCAAAAGTTTACGAACGACATACGACGTACGATGACGGACGAAAACAGATAGCAATAGGTCACCTGAGTTTACTCAGGTGACCTAAAAAGTTAGGATGATCATGAGCAAATCAGTGTTTTCAGGCCAGTGAACTGCAGATCTGAGCTAATCTCATCCAAGCATTAATACAATAATTATCAAATAAAAAAAGATAGCTCAAAAGTCGGACTTCCAATAATAATGTAACCAATCACACATCTAGACCAGGCTGAATACCTTCTTCAGCGACATTAACATAGGAATGATCTGAGTTGGAAACTTTAGAGGGTGACTCAAAAATAACAACAGTCTCTGCTAAATGTTCAGGTCCATTCACTTCTGAATGTATAGCTCTTTCTGCTAGTTGGATGAGTCCTTCGGTACTTGAAATTTCACTTCCTGTAGGGGCTTCTTCATAGATAATATTTACAGTTTCAACAGAGGAACTGTTGTCCAAGGGATGTGTTTTTGAACTTGGTTCAGTGCAAACCATTGGTTCTGCTGAAGATGACTGAAGTTTGATTGCTTTGTTGAGAATTTCTGATGGGACCTGGATATACTGTTTTCCAGATTCATCAGACAACACCAATGATATGCTCTCAAATGGATCCTTGCCATCAGAGGTTCCTTCACTGAAGTTCATCACAGTCATTGTATTTGGATCCTCTTTTGATTGTTGCACCTCTGTAACAGTTTGAATGTTCTTAAATCTAACAGATTTTAGTGCTACACTAGCAGCTTTAGCATCCACTGCAGCAACATGTCTTTCTACATTCTGGTTACTGGAGGTAACAATTTGATAATTTGCAGAAGTATCACTAATCATTTTGCCATCTACCACAGCAACATGTGCTCCTGTGTTTTTCTGACTGCTACTTGTAGCAACTTGATAATTTGCTGATGTCAATCTTATTCCTCTGCCATCTGCTGTAAAAGAATGGTTATCTGCATTGTTAGAGATGTTGCTGGCAACAATTTGACGTTTTTCATTCTGACATTTATCGGCAGTTACTACAAGCACATCTGGATTTCCTTGCCTGTCTGTCTCAATGACCTGATATTCTGTTTTTCCATTATGGGCTGCAGGAATTGGAAAGTCCTTTCTCCTAACAGAATCATCAGTAGCTATCTGCAATTCTGTTCTCTTACTGTTATCAGCTGCAACTTCTTGTACCTCGACATTTCCATCTGCCCCATAAGATATCACTTGTACTGACTGGACTGTTTCTGATATCTGATTTTCTATATCATTGAAGGCAATGTGTAATACTTGCTGTCCTCCTTCCTCTGTAAAATATTGAACTGCATTGGCTGGAATTTCAATTTCGGCTACTTCATCAGTAGCCTCATTACTTGGTAGTAATTGGACTGTCTGGTTTTGAAGCTCCATTTCATTTGAAATAGGAACACTGTGATCTAACACGTAATGTATTGTCTGGGACACTCCTCCATCCCCCTCTATCTCGAGAGACTGCACTTCATGAGTTTTCAAGTGTCTTGAAAGAGAGGCACGGCTGTGATAAGTTTGTGAGCAAATTTCACATTGAAAGATTGTAGCAACTGGCTCCTCTAAATTATGCAGTTCCTTGTGCTTTCTAAGAGACAGTCGATATTTGAAACGTTTTTTACACAGGTCACAAGCATATTTTTTCTCCTCTTCACTGTTTTGATGTATATTTTGATGCTCTTTCAAGTCCAAATACTCCTCAAATTCTACTGAGCATACAAAACATTTAAATGGACCATCACCATGCATTTCCATATGTTTTTTCATGCCTGCCATAGAAGGATAAATTTTCTCACAAACCCCACACTTGTACAGAACCTTACTGTTGTGCATTTCGAGGTGCTTCTTCAGAAAAGTGTGTTGCTTAAACGTTTTCTTGCAGAGGTAACACTTATAGGCCCTTTCATCTGTGTTGTTTTCCTCTGGGAAAATACTTTCTCCTTCCTTCACATTGACAACAGGGCACTGATGTTCTTTAATGTGTTTTTCTAGATGAGATGGCTGAAGAATCATTTGACCACAGACCTGGCACTGATGTTTGGTATTTTTTTTATGATTTATCATCAGATGCCTCCTAAGGTTTGCTATGGAGTTAAATGGCTTTCCACAATAATCACATGGATTTGCTCTTCCTGAGGTATGGGTTCGAATGTGTCTTTTCAAATGTGATGAACGGAAAAAAGTTCTGTCACAAACTTCACACTGGAACTGCTTTTTCAGCTCATGTTCTCGCTTATGCCTTAGGTACTCCTCTTCATCTAAAAATCTTTTATCACATCGAGCACATCTAAGTGAACCGGGCGCTGATGTGTGTATAAGCATGTGTCTGGTCAAATGCTTGGATTGTCTGAAATTTTTATCGCAATATTCACATTGGTAAGGCCTCTCATCTGTGTGTATTCTGATATGCTTCTGGACATTTGAGGGATGGGAAAACATCTTTCCACAGATATTACAAGGGTATGGCTTTGGATTATCGTGAGTTATTCTATGAGCCTTCAGGTTTGAGGGTCGGTTAAAACCTTTTCCACATACATCACACTTGAACGGCTTCTCACTGGAGTGTGTGGCCATGTGGACCTTCAGAAATGACTTTGCGTTGAAGGCCTTGTGACAGACTAGACATTTGTGAGGTCTTTCTCCTGTATGTAGAGTCAAGTGTTTGTCCAGGTCCACTTGATTCACAAATCTTTTTGTGCAATGCTCACACTTCATCATTGTATTCACCACCCTTTTTGGTACTAGTTTTACAGGGGACGGCATTTCAATCTGGATTTTCTCGGGGGGAATTACAACCTCTCGTTTTACTTGCAGAATACCATTCTCATCGGTAAAGAGCTCTTCACCAACTAAATCAGACATTTCAGAAACATCACTTGCTGGAGGCAACTTGTGCTGCTTTTTGTGTCTAATTACTGCTTCTTTTGAAGAATATAATCTGTCACAAATATTACAGGCATACTTTACTTTATCTTTATCTACATTATGAACCAAAATGTGTCTTCTTAGATGCTTGGATAGTTTGTAGCTTTTATCGCAGTATTCACATTTATAAGGCCTTCCTTCCGAGTGCTGTGAGTTTATGTGTTTCTTCATGTTAGACGGATGAGTGAAAACTTTCTCACAGAAGTCACATTTAAAAGGCTTTTCCTTCGTGTGAGTAAGACGGTGTGCCTTTAGGTTGGAACTTCTGGAAAATCCCTTGTTGCAAATTTCACAGACAAAAGGCCTCTCCCCTGTATGAATCATCATGTGGACTTTTAGGAAGGACTTGGCACTGAAAGATTTCCCACATACTTCACAGTTATATCCCCTGCCATATGTGTGTAAACCCATGTGCTTTTCTAACGACTCTGTGTCTGTGAACCGTTTTTCACACAGTTTACATTTTCGATGTTCCCCCGGCTGGACGGGGGTTATTTCTGGATGTAATGTTCCAGTGTGTAATGGAGTAAACTTATGTGGCATCTGTTCAATGACCCTCTTGCCTGGTTCATTCTCTAAAGTAAATTCAATTTTACTATCCTCTGTCACCGTTACTTGGCAGACCTCGTACTTCACGTTGTTATTATCAATGAAAATCATTTTGTGTGTAATTATTTGCTCCAATTTGACACCAACTTGTTATCATCTGCAGTTATGGTTATGGCACTCTGTATCAATTTCTGTCCATTTTCTGTCTCCTGAAATTAATAGAAACACTGATTAGATGTATTATAAAGTTAATCTACCTGTACATTCTAATTGTCCTTTAATACTAGCACTTAAAAAAATATTTAAGCAATTATTATTGAAAATATTGCATTATCAATTCATGTCTTCACCAAGCTTGAAACCCATTAATTAGTAATACAATTAAATTTATTGCACAACTGATCTTTATATCAAAATTTTTGCTCTTGAAACACTATTAAAGTGGATATATATGCGAGTCATGACCATATAAATAAGGGCAAATGGGAAACGGACAGGATTAAGATGATTGAGCAAACAAAATTTCTCAAAATAGGTTCATAACTACATGTACACCTTCGTAAAAATTAAAATCTATGCATTTACTTTTTTGAAAATATAAGACACTTTTTACCAGTAATTCTGACAACACACAACTCATCCCAAAAAGATTTCACAAAGTTTAATTTGTATACTTGTGTTATGCTTGAATTATGTCTAAATACTATTGTTCACTAGAGTCAGTGAAGTGTAAAATGCTTGTCAGATGTTGCATCTGAACCTGCATCTGAGAGAAACATTCTTACATATATCATGTGTGTTCATGGTTTTTATTAATATACCCAACTGTTTGTCACTCTGTTTTACTGATGAATTTATGAAATCAAGTGATGGTGTGATCTAACGTTCCAGATCACCACACTGTAGTTTACCCCTCTCTGAAACTGATGATGTGTACACACATAAATGACGTTTTTATTCATGTGCATCAAAAAGTTCCCTGACAAAATGGTTTGTTTAAGGGTTTGGTTTTGTGTTCATCCAAGTGAAACTCGTACGAAATAAAAATCTCAATATCTTAATAAATACTTCTTGCTTACTCTTGAAAACTGACCTATGACACCTTCCATGGGAAAGCTGTCTTGATATGTATGCAGTTTGATTGTCACTTGCAGTGTCATGCAGCAATAATGTGCATATTACACTTGCAGGACTGCACAGCTACAGGTCTAACAAAACAATAACATGACATTTGTTGTATATGTGCAGATAGTTGAACGTCATGGGTACAACTATTTGTTTCGTTCCTAACAATTCTGTGCGTACTTTTTCCATAACTGTCTGTTTTTCTTCAACTAGGCATGTCCGCCATGCGAAATCTGGGGGCTGCCATTCCGGTATTGAAACCAATTGACTATTTCTGTAATCTGATGTCTCTAGTACCCCGATTACACAAAGCAATTAGAGAGATATTTCGTAAAACATCTCCAGCTATTAGAATGTTTCGATCTAAATGTTTAATATTGTTTATTATAAAAGTAACATCGATGTTTACGTCATATCAGGGAATGCTCCGTCTTCGATTTTACAATGGACAGATAAATTAATACGCGCCCAGTTTTAGCAGTTCCGACTGAATTTAACGTCTGTTGTTTCTTTTGCAGGTAAGGCTATTAATTACCTTTTATCAAATAAGCATATTAATCCTACAAATGTAGGACAATGTCATATAATATTGAAAAATATTGCACGAAAATTAAGAACTATAATCACTCAGCGTAGTTTATTTCTGAGGTCTGTCATGCGATATTCGGCTAAAGTGAAAGTAGGAGCTGGTAAGTCCATTTGTTGTGTTTATTGTGATTTATGAGCCTTATCTCAGAAATACGATATAACTCCTAGTATCAGTAATACATTTTGAGTATGACAACGCCTGCGATCTGATGCACATCAATTTTAAAAAGGTTAAACGTTATACAAAGGATCTGAGAATTTCCACGTGTTTCTTGCAGACCACAATTTGGTAGCGGGCAATATTTAAGGTTCCTCTAATAAATATTACTATGTTTCAAAATACTAAAAGTATTCGTTATTGTATAAAAATATAGTTCAGTCAAAAACATGGTTTCAAATATTATGAGTATAGAGTAAAGAACTAAATTTTGTTTTCATTAATGAGCGATTTTTGTGTAAGATCCTTCATTGAGCCTCAGACACACCAAGTTAAATGTCCAATGACGGCTAAGTGAAGTGGCTCTACGTAGTACACATATATGGTAAATCAGATGTGTTATTTGTAGATCAAAATTTTGATATTCAAATTTAATTGCTTTTTTGTTTTACTTTTTGTAAAAGAGATGCAAGTATTATTAATTATTTATATAAATAATTTTCACATAAGTTTGTACTGTATACAAACCATCATTTTGGACTTGGTCCTTCTGATTTGCAGATTAGTGCAGTATATGTAGTTCTCGTGGGGAAAAGTAAATTAAACAATAAAAATTTTCAAGGATGTTAACTTAATTTGCTTATTGCTTGATATGTAAATTGTTCAGTGTTCATCAATTTGATAAAGAGTGCAGCAAAATTGAAAAATAGCTTTTTTTTAAAGATGAAAATTGCATAAAGTATTAATAATTAATATTCTCTAGTTGAAATGGTTAAGATTGAAAACTTGAATTTCTGCAGCTGCATTGGTTTTATCAAAAAGGGAGTATAATAAGGGGGTCTTACCTGATCTTAAGTTACCATTGAGCATGCTGAATCAAATGCTACCAAGCATGCATGTTTATTTTTAATTGAATGTTCATTTTATGAAAGTTTTTCATATGCTCAATCAGACTTAAGTTGTTGGTTGCACTTGTAAGGAAGAGATAAGGTGCTGGGGGTGGGGTGGGGTGGGGGGTGGGGGTGGGGGGGTAAACCTTGGTATTGATCCATAAATACCATAATATTCTTGTAGAAACCTCTAAGATTTTTCTATAAAATTGAAGAAAAAAAATGAATGTACATGTAGCCACCACTTTATCTCAAAGGTTATTATTATTATATTTTTTTTGAGGACCTGCATTTTAATGGTACAGGCAAACCTTGTTATTTCTATCATGATGGGACCAATAAAAAAAATCAAGAAATCTGGTATAGTTTGACACATTGAGGTTAAAATGCTTAAAGAAAAAAATGGAAGAGACTTTCAATGAAATATGAAGATAACAAACAATAATCAAATTCAAATAATTTAGAGAGATGGAAGCAAAACTCTATTCTTATAATGTCTCATAGAAAAAAGTTTTATCGGACACAGTTTCAGGAAATAAATCCCATTCAGTTAAAACACAGTCTGACACCCTTCAACATGTTCAACAAAGATTAATATTAATATCTAGATTTAAAAGAATTGTTTTTGAACTTTTCTCCTAAAATTTATTATAACTATGTTTACCATGTTTACAGAATGCCTTGTTTCACAAAAAAGAACACTGTTGATAGATATTTTCTCTGGACTGTCAATTTCTGCATTTCATAATCATGTGATACCTGTGTTGGAGCCCTCCCAAAAACCTCCCCTGTAAGGTAAGTTTTATATCCCAATGAAATGATTCTGTTAATTTAATAGACATGTGTATAAGGGTATAAGGTAGGTGTTATAATCACAATGAGCTGACTAGTCATTTTCATTTTGTATGATTGGATTCAGATGTTATTCTATGGGTAATGAATGAAAGAATGTACAATTTTTATGATGAGAAATATATATGCGGTTGGATGAAAAGAAAGATTTTGTCTAAGTGAATGTTGTGTATGTGTCCATCACATTGTCTCAAGCCATGGTTGGAGTCCGCCTACAGTTCTCTCCTACCCGAGGCTGCTTGAGTGAATTAAGTATCGTTATCATGAATAATCAAACCTAATATGTGTGATGTCACGTTATAACCCAATAAAAGTAATTGTTTATATTGCAGTTGACTTTAACGATAAAAAAACAAATGTTAGGTAAACAGTGACTGAAAAAAGGAAGTCACATCAGAGGTTATTTTTAAGGACATACGCAACGTAGTTTGAACTTTATTGTCTTTTTCCCTGGAGCTGAAGAGTTCCAATACTTAAAGGAACTGTGTGATACATTTTATTGTCTATATATGCTGTTGTACACTTCTTCTAAAACAAGTTTTGATAAACAAAACATCTACAATATATGTTTAGTAATTTTTGTATATTTTTCTTTAAATTATACACAAAATTTCAACAATTGATATCTTTTCAAAACCCCTGGTAATGCATGCTGATTTTTTGTCTACGAACATTTGATGGCACTATAATCTTAAATTAAGAATATCTTGAAAAATTATCAGTAGGTAAGGTACGTTGCGTATGTCCTTAAATAATTGAAAACTTCAATCTCTTTTGTAAGGAACTGTTTTTGATCATCTTCTTGTAGCTTACTAACACACATGTCATCATATCAGGTTTTTAAAATTCTGCCATCAAATCCCAACCTTGTCATTTAACCTTCAGATTTTGTACTTGTTTGCTTTATTTCATTATGATCTTATATGCTTGTCTCATCTACTTCCCAAGGCAAGATGACATGACCATCACTTGGGTTTACCTTAATTGATCTTATTTATGTTTGACCTCTTTGTATACAGATTAGACTCATTTATCTCTACATGGATTAAACTACTCTGATCTACACTAATTGTAAATTAAAATAAGATATATTCAGTCCAACAATCAGTGTTAACCAACATTTACAATGTGACCATCATTGCTGAGGGATGTGTAGCCTTTGACCCTGAAATTTACATGTCTATCTTTGCATACTTTTTACTTAGTCATGATGTAAAGATTTAACTTTCAATTCAAGTTCCCTCTTTGAGAGTGATCAACAGTATTGTTTTTTTAGTGGTATGTAATAAATTATTTATATTTAATATTTTACAGATTTCAAAGTCAAGGAGATCATTCAAATGACAGAGGGTTTGGTCCATGTTGGTTTGTCTCAACAGTTAATCTTTTGGAAAGCAGTGTTGGAGAAAATATCAGCAACATGTGAAGACTGTGATTTAGTTTCATATGATATGACTAAAGAAAGTTAATATTTTTGATTTCATGGTTGTATGAACAAATGCTATGAACTTTCCAAACATCATTTTAAAAAAAAGTTAATATGATGACCAAACAAAAATACATATTAATTTGAACTTTCCACGAGTTTACAATGAAG